AAAAAAAAAAAAAGAAAAGAAAAGCTACCTACAACCACTGCCTTTGGTTGAAATATTTGAGTATGACAACAAGGCCACACTAAGCATGGACTTTTCAGAAAGTTGAGATGTGGGAAAATAAGTTCCTTCAGACAATAATAAAATGTAACCTGAAGAAAATGAGTAACGACTCAGATATATTAGCAACAATATACTACATTAAAAGGAATGAAGCAGGTAATCTTAACATACTTTTCTCATTACAAATAATCAGAGAAAGCCAGGTAATCCCTGAAAAACAAAGGGCCATCCTCAGCACAGACCTGGACATTAATCTAGGAGACAGTCTACCACTGTAAGGTTGCTTAACTAGTAAGATTCCTTAGGAGAAGGAAAGAGAGATGATGTTTGAGGTTATTAGGTCATCCTGCAGAACTACTTGTTTTCAAGCTGAGTTTCATAACAAAATTTGCCCATGCTTACTCATGTTTTAAGAAACAATAATAATAATGGCTACCATTTATATAAATTACCAATATTATTACTTATTGAGTGTTTACCATGAGCCAGGACCCATGCTAAGCAATTTATATACACTGCATCATAGAATTCTTTCAACAACTTAGTGAGACACTTTAAAAAATTATCAAAATTTTAAATTATCTCTAATTAGATTAACACATAAACAGAAAAGTAGGAAAGTACACTTACTTCATCTGACTCCAAAGTCCAGCTCTTAACTGCTACACTAACACTGTCATTGACATAATATAAGGTCTCTCAGTAAGAAATTATATTGGGGGTGGTGTCTGGTTAGCTCAGTTGGTTGGAGTGTGGTGCTGATAACACCAAGGTTGCCAGTTGGATCCCTGCACGGGCCACTGTGAGCTGTACCCTCCCTAAAAGAGTCAACTATGCCATTGTAGCATGAAAGCAATGTGTAACCAATGACCATGGCTGTTCCCCAATAAAAAATTTTAAAAAGAAATTATATGGGGAAGTAAATGATAGCAATATAAAAACTGTGACATTTCACTACATAATCTTCCTGGTAAAAGAGGAACATCATTTATGCAATTGATAGGCCAGTTACAAAATTAAGAATGAAATGGATTTTGGGATCATATATATAAAAGTAAAATGGACTTTATTTCTGTGAAAGCAGTAACCAGACTGCCAAAAGTTGCAATTCCTAGGAAAGTGATACTTTTCAAAGATGAATGTCCATTACCAACTGCTCAGAGGAATTACATATAAGTCAAACTCACTAACTAAAATTTTTTTAAATTATTACTTACATCCTTTTTAAAA